TTCTCTTAATTGCAGTCACGACTCTGCTGTCATTCTCTTTTGACACTGCCTTCTATGGTGCGGCTGGACCCTACAGTTCCCGCCACCCGCGAGCGGCAGCGGCCGATGACGCGGCACTCGCTCACATCCCGCGCAGCGTTGTGGACACGTGGAGCCGGCGGCACTACCTGATTGTGCTGGGCATCATGACGGTGGATGACGAAATAAAGCGGAGGCGTCGCAACCTGCAGCGATCAACGTGCTGGCGGTTCCCCGGTGTGGCGACGCGGGCTAATGACTTCACCGGTGCGATGCTTGTGCTGTATTTTTTTGGTCGCCACCCAGCGCATGGCTACAACTACTCCGCCGCGCTGCAGGAGGAGGCGGCGCAGTGGCACGACGTGGTTGCGCTGCCAATGAATGAGGCGCGTGTGCCGGACAAGGTAGGAGGTGGCTGGAGCGTTGAGACAGGAATGGTTATGGGCCGCAAGACGTACATGTGGTTTGATCTTGCGCTCCGCTTGTTCCCCACCGCCAGCTACATTGCGAAGGGCGATGATGACATATTCCTCCGTGTGCCCCTTTTTGTGGCCAATTTGCGACTTCTGCCGCGCCGCAGGATCTACATGGGGGTTCATGCCGGAACGGGGATTTGGGAAAAGAACCGCACAGTAGGCGTGACCTTTATGGTTGGCCTGTGCTACGCGATGTCGAGAGATGTGGCGGAGGCGTTGGTGTCGTACAAGCCGCTGCAGCGCTTTGCACTTCTGCAGAATGCGACAGGGGAGGAAGAAGAGTTCACAAAAATTCATATGAGTGACGACATAATGGTGGGGCGTGTGCTGCTGCAGGAGGTGAAGCCTCAGTCGCTGGTCCTTGTGAAGGTGTTGCCCTGCCATTTTCATGATGTCCGCAACGACACAGGGCACTCGCAGGTGGTGCCATCTTCCATGTGTCTCCACCACGTACGGGAGGACGACTACGCTGCCCTCATGGCGCGCTTCGGCAACGACACGTCGCCTCTTGCCCGTGTCTCACGTGTGTCGAAAGACACAATATACCCTCTATGTGATTAATGAATGAACGAGCTGCTATTTTTGATTTTTCGAGAATGAAATGTTTTTTGTAATATTACATGGAAGCGTCAATTGCTTGTTTGCTGCACTTTCAGTGCGTGCTCCGTGTCCTCGATGGCCGAAGGACGTGGACGGTGTCGCTGACTGCCCCGTAGAGTTTGCCACTCCCCGCCTGCTGCCTTCGCACGCACTTCATCTTTTCTTTTTGTTTGGCGTCTCACTCCAGCAGCGGCCATGCCGAGGCGGAGATTACTGATAACTAAGCGGACACTGACGCGGGTTGCTCTGCTGGTGCTTCTCTTAATTGCAGTCACGACTCTGCTGTCATTCTCTTTTGACACTGCCTTCTATGGTGCGGCTGGACCCTACAGTTCCCGCCACCCGCGAGCGGCAGCGGCCGATGACGCGGCACTCGCTCACATCCCGCGCAGCGTTGTGGACACGTGGAGCCGGCGGCACTACCTGATTGTGCTGGGCATCATGACGGTGGATGACGAAATAAAGCGGAGGCGTCGCAACCTGCAGCGATCAACGTGCTGGCGGTTCCCCGGTGTGGCGACGCGGGCTAATGACTTCACCGGTGCGATGCTTGTGCTGTATTTTTTTGGTCGCCACCCAGCGCATGGCTACAACTACTCCGCCGCGCTGC